GTCTCAATTACTTCTCTCTATAACGACTGACCGCGACGTGTAATGTTTATGATCAGTTCATATTTCGTTTACAACTCTTCAATATTTCAACTATCTGTGTTAAAGTATGTATATCTAATTAGGTGTTGTCATAAAAAGTCGGTGAGAGCACTGATCTGTTTCTATGGGAAAATATTTGCTTAAAATAAATATATTTATTGATAATAATTGAATTTCTGTAGATATAAGTGAAATATATAAAGTCGAGATGTCTTAAAAATACATTTCTATTGGATCTCTAAAACGAACTTGTTTCTTCTAAACCCTTCTCGGATACGGGATGCCAAACAATAAATTCAATTTAAAAATAAAATGCTTCATCCAGATACTATTGACGGTCTTTACTAAATCCGTCCGTTGACTTGTTTGTACCAACTTTCTTTACATTTTCTATCGTTCTCTCTATTCCCAAGCTCTATAGATTTTTTCTAATCCTCTTATGAATAACTCTTGCATGCTGTTACTTTAACCTTTATCTTCCTGACTTTATTTGAATGTAAATAATTTTACTTTCATTTTAACGTTAGACGGTTCAAATATTAATGTCTAGAACAAACTTAATACATTATAGATGCAAGTGACAATATCTACAGTAAAGTTGTTTAAATACATAATTTAGGTTGATAAGCATTTTTAATTTAATTCTGTCGTTTATCAGTAATCTTCAGTTTTAGTCCAGAAGCGTAATATTTATTACAGAAGATTTGACATTTAAAAATTATATATTATGAAACTAAACTATTGTTAATAAATTAGTATGAAAGTTTTTGATATTCTTTTTGATTATACCAATTATACCTGAAGGCAACTTAATAATGAACATAATGATTATTACGTGTTCTTATTTATTTTCCATGTCTTTTCTTAACGAGTATTGGCTAAGATACATGTTAAGGACCATTAACTATGTTGTAATTACCAAAAACAGCAATTTGAAATATTATTGTTATAGTTACATAATTGTTTCTTTCCTTATATAAGATTTTGATAAAAAAATCATAAAACCTAGTACAAAATAAAATCAGTATTCTTTAAAGGGTGTTAGTTAAAAAAATTTGAAAGAATAATATGTTAAAAAAATAAATATACCAGGTATATGAACTACTATCGGACATACAAATTATGGTTTTCATAAAAAAATTAAGAACTAAATTACAGGATATTATTACAATATAAGCGTTCATACATTACCATTTCTACCACAAATTAATTTATTATTTTCTTCTTTGTTTATTGCAACAACAATATTTCGCAAACACTTTTTTGCAGTCTGATCGTAAAGTTTGCGGACGTGCTCAGTAATATTACAGAAGGAAATCAATAAAAATACTTGTTAAGTCGTTTCTAAGCTGTATACAATAGATATTTCATTTAAGAAAAACAGACTTGACGCTAAAAATATATACTACAGGAGTGGTATAAAGTTATTAACTTTCATGGAAAATTGAATCTCATTTTACAGTTACATTTTGAATTAAAAACCATATATATTTCAAGAGATTTCATCATACATGTCTCTGAAATATTTCAATTACGTATAACAAAAGGTACTTTTCTTTGGACTTCCTTTACTTGGAATATACTCTGGCCCAAATAATATTACAATTAATTACAATATCGTATGCGAATATTGGGGAAACTGGGAGATTGTATCCGAGTAATAAACTAACTAGCTTTATTTACCATTCCTTATATATTATGAGACTATTGTCTCATTTGGCCAGAATGGAAAAATATTCCCCGCTATTTGTGTTACCTACCAATTGCATACATATGTATAACGTGTTTAGCACCTTAGAGAATCATTTTAGTGAAACTTTTGAACACTGCTTTTAATATGTTCTCTCATGAATTCAAATTAATTATATGAAAAGATTCAAATGAAGATTAAAAGTTTCCATTTTTAGTGCTTTTCTGTAAGAATGACTGAATAATATTTACTTTCTATTGTAAACAACGATACATGTACATTGGACAATTAACTGACGAAACAAATGTTATGATGCAACAAATGAAGAATGTATGAGGGTTAACTGAAAAAACTCTTTTCTGAGATTTTTTAATTATCTTAACACAGACTATTCTTTATACGTAAAATCTAGCAAAAGATTGTGTGACCTTGGGTAAATTAATTAAATAAATATTAGCTTCGTTAATTTCAAACAGTCGAACTAATACATTACACCCTTATCATTTTATCTATGCCGTATATAAGTAATATCCAATATGTAGCAATTTCCAATGACGCATCTCCATGAAACATATCTGGGTCAAACAATTCTCTATTACTTTGAACAGTTTTTATCTTCCGAACCAGATATGATTCCCAAATTAAATAATCATTTTGCTATAATTTGAAAGCATTTCTTATTTTTGGTGATTTTCCCACATCTTAAATGATTTTGATCATAAATTTAAATGTTAAGTATAAACTGAAACAATTTTAAAATATTAACAAAAAATGAAATGAAAACATTTTAGAGGCTGGTCAGAAAATTTTATATGAATTTGTCTAATTATTTCCTACAAAAGAAGTTTAAAACATGACTTATTTAAGGAAGAGTTACAAGAGATAATTATGATTATATGTATTTTCTGATTTTACGACAACATAATTCGGTTCGACTTCCCTACACTTACATAATCATTTATAACTTTCTTAGTACTAAATTGCAACAATCTTTGGGGAGTTTCCTTAGTCCGGCCGTAAAATTATCAGACGTGATCTGAAATATCTTAGTGCTAGCTTTAATAAAAGTACTCATATATATTATCTTAAGGCACGGTTTAGCATTTGAAAAATGGAGATATTTTATTTTTGGATTTTATATACTTTTACATCAAACATTAAGCATTACCTACAGTAACCATTTGTTATGCACAATTTTATTCGACTTAAAGTAGGTACAGATAAAAATAAAGTAATTAATCTTTATGGCTCCTATAGTCTATCTATAATAATTTTTAATAGGTATACACTATACATTTTACCCATATAATTTATGATCAAAAATTGTAATAGAATTATAGGTATATGTTATATAATATGTGATACATATGATAATCCAGACGATTCAACCAAATCCAAGAAAATATTCAGCCCAAATTTATTTGGTAGAAAAGTTTTACCGCCACCTTCTAAGTTAGTCATTACTTTCTGGATAACGTCCAAAACGTTTGTTACACAAGATACGTCAAAAAAGTAAATTGTGTAGAAACGATAAGCTCCCATAATTTGACAATATCCTTCCATACTAATATTATAAATGCCAAATAAAAATATTAAGATTTTTGTTGTTCACGTATACGTATAGTCTATAGACTAAAACATTATGTAATATTGTTACTACTTATACGATTTTATGTATACGTTTTGAAGAATGTATCTCAATCATAAATAAAATAAATCATTTGAGCAAAGCCGCGGGTAAAACCCTTGCTCATATAATAAGCAAATAAATGTATAGCTTGAAAATACTTAACTAAATAGTCTTTACTATATTACAGTGCTAAATGCAGTGGAATACGTAATACTTTTTCCGGTTTAAATGTAACGAATTTAAGGCATTTTTCAGATCCAACACAAGCTTGGAAAGTGAACAAAAATCCCAGCAATTCGGAAGAGATGTAAGGCTTATAGGATATCCGAGAAAAACAAAGTCGATATTGCAAAATAAGTCCCCTGGAAAACTACTACACAGTATAAAGAAGTAAATATATTGTCTATTTTATCTAACAAAAAAGATTTAGGCATTTTATAAGGCATCTTATATGAAGGTAATTCGATGAATTTAATCGTTCGAATAATATATTATTTATTTTTAAATGTATATAGAGGGTGACTGGTGAATTACTATCGATACTTGAGGACGTGATAGTAATTCACCAGTCACCCTGTATAATGAAACACAAAACTCTTAATTAAAATTAATTTATTCAAAAAAAAAATCTAACAGTTCTATATTAAGTAGTTACTAAATAGCTTTTCACAATCGTTTAATATATTACAAAATATAATACAAGAGGTAACATTCAGAACTAATGTTATAAATAAAATGAGATTTTTGTAAAAAATCGTTTGGCACAATTTTATGATATTCAACTTTATAAAATGAGCATTATTTTATTATGCTAATATAACTTTTAATTATTATAGTTTACATATTATCTATGGAGTTATAGTAACTGGCACAGAATTCGTAAAAACGCAAGATATTCAGAAAAGGCTATTGTATGAATTGTCTTAATTTTGGAAGTATAGCTTATATGTATAAAGTATGAATTTAAGAAAGAAAATCATCTGACTGAGAAAATACGAAAGAAACCATAAATATGACACGATTTTTTTAATATCTCAAACATCCAATGTTGACATATTACAAAAAAGTGCAAGAGAGAATCATATTTTTATCCATACATAAAAGAAGCTTTTAAAATGTCCTAAAAAGAGAATTGAATGATTTATTTAACTTAACAACTTCAAAGTTCTTAAAGTTCATCTCAACGAACAGACGGACAGTAAAAAGTATAAAAAACTTTATCTTTTCAGTCACTTAAACCGCAGCCGGGTTCAGAATTCTAAGAGAAATTTAAACTTCAGTCTCCATACTACAGACGACAATCAAATTATATATTAAACTCAGTTTTAAATACTTCTACGGTTATACATATTAATGAGACATACGGGCAAGAAAAAAAAAATATTAACACATACAAAAAAATAATAAATCAAACTTATAAAATCTATACAAAGGTTTATTGATACGGGTTGCTACAAAATATACATTCATGTAATGCCTCTATTATTTACAATATATTATGCACAATACGTTAACAAGACTAGCCGGCGCTATATTATAACTAAAAATTCGTTATTCACACAACAAAGTCGAAGTATGTCAGTCGGTGTTCCATTGAACACATAAACGCCCTTGAGACTTTCTCCATTGAGACCTCTATATTTATAGCTCTGTGGTAGTTTCCACGGGGGATTGTTCGTATGAGAAACCAGTGAAATTTCTCTTTCCGAACGTTACATTATCATTATCCGTGGATCTGTGAAAAAATGGATATAATTTATGTTATGTCTATTTATAACTTAATAATATTCGTATATTTTATTAAACATTAAAATAATGTCGAGATAATATTTAAAATTGAAATAGAATATATTAAATGAAACTAATTCATTGATACTAACAGAATTCCGAATTTCGAAAATGGAACGCGATTAAAAAATATTTAAATCTATTTTCGAAGTTAAATTCTAACAAATAAATGTCACATACCGTTGTAACCCGGGTATTTCGTCGTACGCCATAATAGGTTGCGTCTGTTTCTTCTTGTGGTTGCCGGTGTTTATTTTCCTCCCCAGCGTCGCGGCCAGTAGTCCTCCCGCTACACTATTATTGACCCGCGGCAGCGTCCCCAGTGAGTTGTTCAAGGGATGGTTGTTATTCGTCCTCCGGTTCAACGTCTGTGTGTTGCGAGCGATGGTCGCGTTGTTATCGTTGTTGTCGAAGTTATGAACTTTGTTCAATGTACCACCGTTCTCGTTTATACTCGACGCTCTCGCTGTAGTCGCTGTTTCTGATAATGTTGGACTTCTTTCGCCTGTTACAAAATATTCGTAACTATTATATATTATGCATGTAACATGTAATAATAATGTTATATAACCTTTCTGGAAAAACCCTCCTATAAGATTTCTTTTCACTTGTTATTTTTTGTATTATAATTATTTTCTTACAATTTTTTGCTATTTTTCTACCTTAATGTGACCAATAAATCATGTATCACTATTAAACTCACCGTTATCTTTGTATGTTAAATGCGTGGTTATTAGGACTGAAGTCCAATTGTAGATCTGCGTCATCGACAGACATATTGAGAACCTAAAATAAAAATATGATTTAATATAAGAATTTATAGTAAATTATCAAAAGTACATACAAATGTTGTTATGTTACCTGTGTTTCAAATCTGGGAGCGGGGTCTTCTTCACTAGACTCATACCCTGACGGTGGTCGCGGCGGCGCCATACTCATACTGAGGGTTCCGTATTGTTGTATTGCTTGCTCTTTGTGTTTTTTATATCTAGAAAATTATGTTAATATTTTAAAACATTTTTTGATACTTTTAATAAGCAAATTTTTATTCTTGTATAATATCTGCATTCAACATTGTTATCAATGCTCTAAGTAAGGTATTTTGTACTCGTCAATATAATGTCCACGATATAGTTTTACTCCCAGTATCGTATGGTATAAAATCTTTGCACAATTGCTCTTGGTTCATACTACATAAAAACTCTTTACATTTTGATTAATCAATCAATCAATCCATCTATACCGAGTCAACAATTTCAAGTTGTAACTATAAGACAGAACTAAGTCGTTTAACAAATCATAAAAGACTATAGCAGATGGGCTTTAAAGTTTGAGATGATAGAAAAGGCACATGTTGTCTTAAAATATACTAATTTGAGAGAAAATTCTCTTGCGTATTAGACAAAACCACATAACGATGAAATTCAAAATCCTGTTCTATCAGTCATAAAAAACTCTTTGTATAAGATCGGTGATCACGTTAAAGATTGATAAGGCAAAGGACACTTGTCCCAACATATCAACTTTAAGACCAAACACTAATATGTCCTATGTTCGACATACAGTGTTTCAAACTTGATTGTTAAAGTTCATTTACTTCCAATTATATCATACAAAATGGCTGAAACTAGTATTTATTTTTAAATACAAGTTGATACTTAAATGTTGATACATAAGAAAGTTACCATGGTTCAACACTACAATAATCATAAAAATAATTCTAAGGATTGTACTATATTAGTACGTCACAGATGGCGCCACTAGTAACATTATAGTAAATTATTAGTAAGGCTTAAAAACTACGAATACCGCTAGTTGTAACCATCGACTTATACTAATGTACATGCCTTAGAGATGAGAATTGTGGCACTCCAAAAGAAAGAGAGGAAACGAAGTTTCGGTCTATCTTTATCTCTCTCAAATTTATATGCCGTGCTTGTAATGAAAACTGAGCGCCAATCATCTTTGAGGAAAGAGATAGTGCTAGACCGAAAGCATAGGCCATCTCTCTCACTCTTCTCAAACCAAAAAATGACTGTATATTATACGCGTACGGCACGTCCATTAGTATAATTCGATGGCTGTAACAACTAAGAAGCGTAATATTCTCACCTATTCCAAGAAGCGCATATGTATATAGTGGCAGCGGTGGCAGCAACAAGTACTAACGCTGCCAGCGCCAGTAGAGCAGCGGGCAGAGCGGTCGCTAGTACCGCCGCCGCTAGCTGTGGCCGGCGAGAAGCGGGCGGGGTGAGAGGCGCTCGGATTGATACACCAGACTCGACGGCTCTGGAAATTAAGGGATGGTATTAGTTTATTACTATTACTTAATGAAATTGATCCTATAATGAATATATTGTATACCAATAATAAGTATAGCTGTTATTGAACTAGTACTTTTTTCTTATTATATTGGTATTATAAAAATACTTTTAATTGTGAACGTCTTCTGCTGTCAAGATTTTGTTACTTTAATTTTTTTATTCATTTATTTAGATAGGAGGATAATGTTTATGAACTAAAAAGAACTGATGAAAACTTATTTAATATTGATAGTTTAAGATATATAGAAGAGATGTTATAAGAAAATTAATAAGATGGCGCGTTTTAGTCTATGAATTATGGGAAAAATATTTCTAATAATTAAATTATTTTACTGTATTGACTGAATTCTCTTATATATTGCTTACTTTTTCACCGGCTGTGATTCTCTTGTCAATATTTCACCAGTATTCGGGTCTATCAAGTACAACCACACACTAGTTCCGCTAGGGTCACTCTCTAAAGTACTGTTTTCTCCTAAATATAGTCCAGGAGTCAATTTCTCCAATCCTGCCACTAAACCACTTCTTTCTTCAACAGATGCGAGCAGACTACAAGCTTGTTGAGTCGTCATAGTATCCACGTTCAAATTACCTACTTCTATGATAAGCTGATTGTCTTTTTGGAGGAGATTTATCTGAAAAATGAAAATCTTAACTTAATCTTCAACTTCATCAAATATATTGGTTGATTACTTAACATATCAAATAATATATGCAGGGTGACTGGTGAATTACTATCAATATTTAAAGAGAATACTCGGTACATGATTCTCATTGGAATTATGTAAAAAAATAGGTACTTAATTTTTGACCAAATTTCCGTATAAATAAATAAAGTGTGGACACGTTCCAAGTGTTCCAAGTGTGGGCGCATGCGGCGGTGTGCTGATACAACACCACGCCGCCGCACGCGTGTGTGTGTGTGTATACATACCTAATCTGTAGGGTGTTCACACGATGCGTAATTAATAACATAACTTTTGGTTAACTTTACTTAGTAGTTTATTAATATTTATGTTATATTAATTTTTATTTTGTCATATATGATCGTCAAATATCACGTCCTCAAGTATCGATAGTAATTCACCAGTCACCCTGTATATGTCTCTGTGTGTATGTAAAAAATCTCACCACAAAAGAAGCTCGAGCTATCTTATAATTCTCGGACTTGGGGTTGTCTCTCGCCATAACGTTGAATTTGAATGGTAATACGTCTTTTGGAACATTCTCGAATGTCTTTCTATTACTTATCACGCCGGTGTCGGGGTCCAAAGAGAAATATTCCTCAGCTGCTTTGGTCCATGAGTTCTTACGGTATTCTATTTTACCAAAGTCACCACTGTCTTTGTCTTTAGCCTGAAAAAAGAGTCCATTTATTTACTTGTAAACATAGAAAATTACTAAATATCAGCTTTTGTAATTCAGTTCCAAAAAACTATACATATATATTTATTTATTTATTTGAAACTATGTTTGATATATTGTTAACTTCGATTTTAATATGAAGCAATGACGTAAAAAAATGTCTGTATGTTATCTCTATATCAAAAAAACAACACATTTCCGTCCGTACTAATCATTGCAGCCACATGACTTACATAGTAGAAATATCTCAAAGTTTTTGATATTTCTAAACATTGAAAAATATTTATTGGTTTAACATTTTTTGTAGTAAATATATAAAAGTGATAGTAAAGAATTACCTTAACTTGCAATACATTAGTACCCAACGGCATATCCTTAGTGGCTATCGCGAAGTATTTACCCTTCGCACCTCCCACCGTAGACTGCTCATTGAATACGAAGATAGGAGCATTATCATTGACATCGGTTACATGTATTTTTATAACCGCTTTACTACTCTCTGGGTTTATCAGACCCTGTATAGACTCGAGCTGCACTTCCAATGAGTATTCTGTTAGTGTTTCGTAGTCTAGACTACTATTGAGGTATATAGCGCAGTCTCTGTCAGATGTTAGTCTTACGTAAAACACTCCTGAAATAATATAAACGTATTACATGTTTTATAGATTTATTTTAAGGTAACATCTGAATATATTTTTGAGAATGTAACTGAGATTATAGTTATTTTTTTAACTATATCGAAAAGGACGAGATAAAACTTTAAATTTATTGAAAAACGTTGCCGTAAAGTAACCGAAACGTCGGTAGTATGTAGATAAAATATAATTATGAACGCATAGTAAATCAAAAAATATATTTATTTTATTTCAATATATATTTTTACTCTAATATGAGAAATGTCTTTAACTAGCAAGTATTTTACACAAATATAATAATAATCATGCAGACTAAGTTATTGATTACATAGCAAACTGCAAAATTTAAATTAAGTTCCATATTTATTTCTATTAATTCTATTTAGTTTTTATATACATCTCAAAATAAAAAGTAGATATATTAAAAATATCAATATGGAGATATCTTGGTACGTATTAGAAAGGAATTTGATATTTATTATACATATGTTTAATATGTACTTAAAATAAGAATGTAATATTTAAAGTAGATACACAGATATACCGATATACAAATATTTCGATATACAGATGTACAAGATATAACAATAATATTATAGTCCTTACATCAGGTGGTACTGTGGCCGAGTGACTGACATAAACAGTGAGACATGACCGGGTCACCTTGGTCATATGCTTGGATATCAACCTGGAAAAATAAATAGGACTTATATATATTAGATAATTAAATTTAGTAATAGACAAATTACCATAAAATATATATGAATAAATATTTAATAAATATGATATATTTGATATTAATTTATTATGGTGAATTAAGGATTAAGGATTTTTATTTTAATCAAATAGTTGATAGGATGAATTTAACCAGAAATATGTTATAGTTGTGAAAAAAATAAATACATATATTTGAAAGGGAACTATTAAAGGAAACTATTTACAAAATATTTACCCAACGTTACAACAATTATTAAGTTTCTAACTTAACTAATTATATAAAAATATATTTCAAAAGTAATAGAATTGTAATTTTGCGATTCACAACTATGTATCAAACATATAAAGTTGAAATTAAATAAACGGATTAATGGAAAATATTCAACTTCAAGTAACTTTTAATAAACACTCACGGTATATTCACTATCAGTCTCTTTCCTTAAATCGTCTCTAACTTTCACAGCTTCCGTATCCGGTTCCACGTGGAAGTATATACTGGCTTTCCCTCGTCCAGCGAGTGCGTACCGTATACGGTTGTTGGGTGATATTGCGTCTGAATCTAACGCTACTACTGTTTCAACCAAACAGCCGATAGAGGACGTATCCTCTATAGTAACCGGACGAGCCACACATGTGAATATTGGTGCGTTATCGTTTTTATCCTAAAAATATATATTATTTGTTATTAAATAAATTATATATTTACAAATTCACAAAGGATTCATAACAACACAGCTTCATACTCTGAAGATTCAAACTGGTTGCATAGAAATTTCAACTAAGGTCTTAATAAAAAAAAAATAGTACTTGGAGTCCTTCGACGAAGAAGTGAAACTTCGTAATGTAGAAATTAAGGGTAGAAATAAATTCTTACTGAACTATGGTTTCTTTACAACAAACTTTATAATTATTGCTTACAATTAAAATTGACCCATTTACTCTCGCTCCCTCCCTAATAACGTTGAACATTTAACGCAACCTTGTTGCAAGTCACATTAAAAGTTTCACTTGAAAAAATTACTCCCAAAATATATTTTTGTATCGAAATAACACTTTAAGTACTAAATAAAAGAGGTATACAATCTTACATCAACGATTACTTCAACAGTGGCTGTAGAACCATTTCCATCATTATTATTCTCCTCAGTGCCCACTATGAGTTCATGGCGTGCCGACTCCTCTCTATCAAGAGGCTTCAACGTCCTTATAAGGCCGGTCTTACGATCAATGGAGAATAAATCGGTGCTGCCCTTTATAATAGTGTAAGTAATCTCCGGTTGGGTATCCGGATCCTCGGCCTGTTAACAAAATTTTCAGCTTAAATTACTTATATCTCAAAATTTCGTAAAAAAATAATTTTGGATTAAAGTATAATTTCTTCGAAAAATATGTTGGAATATTACATTAATTTTAATGACTATCAAGACATAGATATAGAGTATCAAAATTAATCAAATGAATACTATCATCTATCATATGTAACAGTTACTCACATGTACTTTAATCACTGGATAATTAGGTGCGTTCTCTGGCACTCTAACTGAATACACTCCTTGTATGAAGACCGGAGGCTCATCTGGTTCATCCAACACTAAAACTGATACAGAAGCCGTGCCCAGACGTTTGTCCATCGCACCATCAGTGGCCGTCACAACGAATGCATACTCCTGAAAATAAAAAATAGCAATTTCTTATTACTATGGTTTACATTACTTTTGGTAGGCGTTTATTTTGTGAAATGTTTATTTATGGAGTTAGTTTATTCATTGGTATAGTATAAATACAAGTATATTGGTGCAGCAGAATATGCAATATTAATAGAATAGAGTATAAAAAGTAATCTCACCTTAGTATCTTCATAGTCAAGTTCTGTTTTAGTACTAATAACGCCGGTATAGTTATCTATAGCGAAAGGCAGATGAGATGGAATGCTATACGTTATCATAGCGTTTACACCTTCATCTAAATCAGTAGCATGCACTTGGCCCACTTCAGCGTTTGCAACTCCTATAATCAAAATTTAGATCATAGTTTATTATAACACTTACAGATAATCAAATATTTTTATATAAAAAACAAACGAACCTTCTTTAATTTTAAACAAATAGGAATCTTTGTCCAATTTAGGATTGTTGTCATTAATGTCAGTGACTTTAATATTAACTGTGGCTGTTGTTGTCAAGCGTCCTGGATCTTCGGCTCTTATCATCTGGAATTCAAAAAATATTAATTAATATTATCTTTATAAAGACTTAAAACGACAATCATTCTTTTATCATTATATTAAACATATGTTTTAGCGATATTTGTTTCCCAAATATTTTTATTAAATACGAACCAGTACGTAGGTATAATCTGTATAAATAAATATCGTAGAAAAGTTTCATATATTTGATAACAGTATTATAGTAATTGCGCATTATCAAATTAGGGATATTTTGAACATGAAAATGTATTTTTACAAATGTATTAAACAAATAAAAATCATTATTTTAATATTTTAAATAAATAAATATGTAGTATTATCTCTAACTACATATAAATTCATGTTTTTACTTACCAGTTAATACCTCGTGAGTACTTCTCTATCTAAATGTCTTATAACTGTTATAATGCCGGTGTTGGAGCCGATGGCGAATTGACGTAGATCGTTCCCAGACCCTATCGAATATGTAACAGGTTCATTCTCAGGATCTTTGGCCTGGAATATTAAATATGAATTATTAATCGCTTACATATATTTCCTACCAACTTAATCAATTAAAATGACATTAATATATAAAAGCTATTTTTTTATCAGTGTTATAAAATTTGTATTACACTACAAATTGATTTAAACAAAGCATACATAGTATATTAGAATGTCTACATAGTATATTACACTGTATCAAGGTATACATATAATTTAATAATTTAATAATAGTGGTGGGAAGGGATAAAAGAGAGAGAAAGAAATAATAATTCCTTAAAAATCAATTTTTACCCCCTTTGTTATTATTTCAAAATTAAAATTTTTCCGTGGGTATTGACTCCTCACACAATTTTTTTAAGATTTGTTAAATTCTGTAACACTTTACACTCTGTAACACTCACAGTAACGGTTGTAACAGTGGAATTGATAGCGGCTCCTTCAAATACCGGTGCGAAGTAATCCCTTGAACTGAACTGTGGTGGACGTGTGTTGGGTCCGGGGGTCACTACTAACTCAATGATGCCTTGGGAACTCAATCGTTTAGAGTCAGTAGCCCTCACTATACTGTTCACCAGCTAGAAGACGACCGGTACTCGCTGTGGAATTGATGAAAAGAATTTTTTTATTTTTATATCCTACTAATATTATAAATGCGAAAGTAACTCTGTCTGTCTGTCTGTCTGTTACGCTTTCACGCCTAAACCGCTGAACTGATTTTAATGAAATTTGGTACAGAGATAGAGTTGACCTTGAGAAAGAACATAAGATAGTTTTTATCGCAGACTTTTGAAAAGTTATCTTGGAAACGCGATATAACCGAACTCCACACGAGCGAAGCTGTGGGCGGAAAGCTAGTGTTATATAATTAGGATGATTGAAAGTACTAAATTATCAATTTTAGAAATAAAACTTAAAAAGGTTGTTTAAAACGTTTGTCATTTAGCGATAAGAATGCCTTTTATATTTTTTTCATTAATAAGAGGTAAGTAGTTAAAGTTCAATAATTTCTTTAATTTTAATCTTGGGATTTTTATTTTTTTGATGTCAATTAAATAATAGTAAAGTTTTCAAACAAATTGAATGTTAATGTCACACAAATTAAACGGTTGTGGGCAGTTGTGAAATATTCAGTGTCATGCATAGTATGTAGCTTTAGATATTAATTAGAAATTCAACAAAATATTTTGAGTATATTGTGCAAAAAATCAATTCGTGATTCAGTGGCTTTGTCCTCAAAAAAAAAGATACCTCATCATAATAATTATATATAGTGGAACAAATTTAAGTATTATTAAACATTTTGCTGACTAGAATAGGAAATGTTTTTTGTTTGGTGATAAAGTTTTAAACTTATTCATTTAATTTAATGGTTTTTCTTAATTTTTGATGTCATCCACCATCAATATAATACACACAAAAAATAAACTATTTATTTAAACAACATTCTAATGAGAGTCAAGAATTATTTCTTGTTAGTATTTTATTACCGGTTAAGTAAGTATTTAAAATTTTAAACTGTATAACCAATTATATGATATAACGCCTAAGTGTTATGAGTCTGACTTAATAGCGTCGTTAAGTTAAAGTCTTAGGCACATTTTATAGTTAATTCAACCAGTTTCCTGATAGACATACATATGTTTATATGTATATACTTCTTCTAGTAGTTTTTTAATTATTGTTTTGTTACTTGATTTGTTCCACATCATATATAATTATTGTTATGATCAGTGTAAAGTGCGTGCACTCACATATAACACCAGTGTTTGGGTCTATAGTGAACTTGTTACCACCGTTGTTAGACACGTGGTATATACTGTAACTGATGCGAGCGTTCTCACCGTCGTCTATGTCTGTAGCTTCCACCAGAACATATACAAATAAATTAATGTATGTAAATAATAATTATAGTACTAAATATTTGATTGGTTGAAAACATGTTTTATTTGTTTGTTCATGAGACAGCTATATTATAAGTCTCATTTAAATCTCATATATATTGCTAAGAAATTTCCATATATATAGATTGTAAGAATCTTTTTATTGAAAAAAAAGGTTCGTATGTAATATACATTGTGTTCATAATACAAAATCACCTCACCCTGTATACAGCAGCTGGTTCAAGGCTGGCCGGTAGTGTGATGGGTTGTGTTTTTGGTATAACCGGAGCGTTGTCATTAACATCTAACAGTTCCACTGATAGTGAGTAAGGCGGTGACGCAGCCCCCGTCGGCTCACGAGCTACAACCTGGAAAAACACCATCAAATTGGATCAATAAACAGTTTTTAATGATATCACTGAAGTATTATTTAAATTTAATATAAAAATAAAATAAAGGATTGAAAATATTTTTCTACTTTTCAGACACAAGTTACAACATTTAAAAAACGTATTGATTCTCTATCGTATAAAGTTTTTAAATTGTTTATAATTTATTTATATATTGCTTAATAATCAATGTATGATATATTAAGAGATATGAATTATACACTGCGCAGTGAATTATACATAATAAAAGATTATATTAAAATCTGTCAAAGACATAAAACTTAAAATTAATAACTAGAACATTTTTATAACATTAATAAATATTATTAAAAATAATAACTTAATAATTCAATATGTCCATAGTCCTTGATTTGTTCTGAACATTTCACTTATTAAGAGACAGCTCACCTGAAATCTAAGTCTATCTTTGTTTGGTGGGTCACGATCTAATCTATCGTCGCTAACTACGAGGTATCCGTCTTTGTCGATATCAAAGAAACAAGTTTCTTACAGATTGTTGACTCAAATTTGTACTCCGGTATCGGATCACCGGGACCCTGGAAAATATAACAATAATAATATAATAATGATCTTAATAAAAAAAGACAAAGGAAAAGCAACAAAAAACCAAGGAAACATCAATAAAACATTCATTTATAATTAGGGACAAGACTTTCGCAAGTATTCATTTAAATGAAACTAATATTTTCGGATTACTTCGCGTATTTTATTATATTTAAAGAAGCGACGTTTCACGGGCAGACGAGATGTCACATAGTAATCAATAAGTACTAGTTTCATTCATTAAGTTAGTTACGTTCATTAATTCAGTCATTGATGTTCATTCATTCTTCAGTCTTTACTAAATGTGACTCACCAAGTCAGAATCAGATACAGTCAATCTGATAGGGTTTCCAGACTTATCCAGTACTTTGGTTCCATTCGGTGAGTTTTCCTCAACCTGTCCTTCATCTGATGATGACGTCACTACTGGTGGTCTGTCTGTTATTGTTAATTTGGCTAGGTAATAGGTCTCACTGTTATTGTTAATTTGGCTGTTGTGAACCGTTTCGCTTCTGATATCTCTTCAGCCTGATAATGTATGTAAGATGTATTTTTTATAGTACTAGTATTAGACCAAAAAAACACTGCTTGGCAAAGTCCTCTTTGTCACACGGAGAAGGTTTGAGCAAAAGTATGTACTATGTAATTATTTACAATATTAGGTTCAATACAGAATTTGATATTGCTATGTCTATATTTGGTTCTTGATGAGATCGTTTGCAAGTATTCAATCTCCGTAATGAATGGCTTTTTGCTGTTCAATATCAGAATATTTCAATAGCACTATTTATTTCAAACTCTCATACATATACATCAGCTGCTAGTAGATAAATTCATCTACAGTTTTACAAAATGTACCAACAGAAATTATATATGTACATACCTTAATAACTAATTGGAATTTCTTAGCAATACTTATATCGACAGGCACAAGTTGCCTCACGGCGCCTGTACTTTGATCTATATCAAAGTAACTCGCCCATGAATCGGGTTCGCCGCTCTCTATAGTATATTTTATACGAGCGTTCAGAGTGTCCATGTCAACGGCTTGAATCTTCTCAGGTTCTATGGTCAGTATACCAGCAAGTACACCACCGTTTACCTGATCGGAAAAATTTCACATTTATTTATATTGATTTATCTTCATATTAACAAACTGTAATGATAGTATTTTTTACAATCAGTACAGTCTCGCAAAAAAATGATTACATAGTTATGTATACGTAATACTTTCACATATATATTTTTATCAATTCGTTTTCATATCAACAAAATGTAGTTTTTTTTGCTAACCCTATAGTCTTACAAAAAATATCCGTATATAATATGTATACGTAATACTTACGTAAGTGTTATACTCAGGGTTGATACAGACTCCGTCATGTAAAGTGCAGCCTTTGTATATAAAGGATGGATCCTGGTCGTCTCCATCTTGAACATTTACGTTCAACGTGGTGGTACTTGAGACACGGCGTTTAGTATCGCGAGCTCGATCCTGATATTTAAAAGGATTTTGCTTAGATCGTTACTTTTATTTAAATCGTACATAAATTGAAGTAACTATATAAAAAGTATGTGCCTACTTATATTTATTCATTAAAACTTACAAAATAATTTGAAATGTATGTTCAATAATTTGTTGAATTCTTGAAGAGTTTTAGATTTAAGTAATTGAATTTTTTGTTGCATTTTTAACTTGATTGCATAATATTAGATCTACGATCATAATTCTTCAGAATCATTTAAGTAATATATGAATTCCTTAATCAAAATTTAATTTAAAAATCATTTACATTCAAGGCTAGATATATCTAATCAATAATTTCGTCTACAAAATGTATGACATTATACTCCCAGAAGCAACAATAGTGACTAGATACTTCTGTGTCCGTTCGTAATCTAAACTCCTGTTCACAGTGACTTGACCCTGGTGAGGTATTGGGATCTCGAAGTTAGTGTAACCATCAACCGCGTTAGCAGCCTCCAGTGTTTTATTATCACCGGGTATTATAAAGTATTCTGCTAAACCATTCACACCAGCATCGGGATCCAATGCTCGTATAGCGTCGAATATCGTCGAACCGATGGGTATTAACTGGGAATAAAAATAATAGTTAATGCGTTCTAATATTAAATAATTGGATAAATATGGCTGAGATTCTTTCCGTGCTTTACCTCTGATATACTAGTTTCATAGGGCGTGCCTTGAAATACCGGTGCATAATCGTTTATATCCGACACTCTTACGATTACGGGGATAGTTCGCCTCTTCTTGGTCGCTTTCACTTGGCATACCAGCTGCATAGCAAAATAACTCATTAATATACACCCTATAATTAACTTATGTTTTCTCGTATATATAATGAAACACAAAACTCTTAATAAAAATTAATTTATTCAAAAAAAATATCAAACAGTTCTATATTAAGTAGTTACTAAATAGCTTTTCACAATCGTTTAATATATTACAAAATATAATACAAGAGGTAACATTCAGAACCAATGTTATAAATAAAATGAGATTTTTTGTTAAAAATCGTTTGGCACAATTTTATTATATTCAACTTTATAAAATGAGCATTATTTTATTATGCTAATATAACTTTTAATTATTATAGTTTACATATTATCTATGGAGTTATAGTAACTGGCACAGAATTCATAAAACCGCAAGATATTAAGAAAAGGCTATTGCATGAATTATCTAATATGAAAGTATAGCTTATTACATATAAAGTATGAATTTAAGAAAGAAAATCATCTGACTGAGAAAATACGAAAGAAACCATAAATATGACACGATTTTTTTAATATCTCAAACATCCAATGTTGACATATTACAAAAAAGTGCAAGAGAGAATCATATTTTTATACATACATAAAAGAAGCTTTAAAAATGTCCTAAAAAGAGAATTGAATGATTTATTTAACTTAACAACTCCAAAGTTCTTAAAGTTCATCGCAACGAACAGACGGACAGTAAAAAGTATAAAAAACTTTATCTTTTCAGTCACTTAAACCGCAGCCGGGTTCAGAATTCTAAGAGAAATTTAAACTTCATTATCCATACTACAGACGACAATCAAATTATATATTAAACTCAGTTTTAAATACTTCTACGGCTATATTAATGAGACATACGGGCAAGAAAAAAAAATATTAACACATACAAAAAAATAATAAATCAAACTTATAAAATCTATACAAATGTTTATTGATACGGGTTGCTACAAAATATACATTCGTGTAATGCCTCTATTATTTACAATATATTATGCACAATACGTTAACAAGACTAGCCGGCGCTATATTATAACTAAAAATTCGTTATTCACACAACAAAATCGAAGTATGTCAGTCGGTGTTCCATTGAACACATAAACGCCCTTGAGACTTTCTCCATTGAGACCTCTATATTTATAGCTCTGTGGTAGTTTCCACGGGGGATTGTTCGTATGAGAAACCAGTGAAATTTCTCTTTCCGAACGTTACATTATCATTATCTGTGGATCTGTAAAAAAAATTATACAATTTTTGTTACATATATGTATAACTTAATAATATTCGTGTATTTTTAACATTAAAAAAGTCTATATGTTTGTATCTAAGTTTAAATAAATTCTTCGATACAAACAGAAATCCGAATTTCGAAAATGGAACGCCATTTAAAACATTCAAATCTATTTTCGAAGCTAAATTCCAACAAATAAATGTCACATACCGTTGTAACCCGGGTATTTCGTCGTACGCCATAATAGGTTGCGTCTGTTTTTTCTTGTGGTTGCCGGTGTTTATTTTCCTCCCCAGCGTCGCGGCCAGTAGTCCTCCCGCTACACTATTATTGACCCGCGGCAGCGTCCCCAGTGAGTTGTTCAAGGGATGGTTGTTATTCGTCCTCCGGTTCAACGTCTGTGTGTTGCGAGCGATGGTCGCGTTGTTAGCGTTGTTGTCGAAGTTATGAACTTTGTTCAATGTACCGCCGTTCTCGTTTATACTGGACGCTCTCGCTGTAGTCGCTGTTTCTGATAATGTTGGACTTCTTTCGCCTGATACAAAATTTTCGTAACTTGTATTAGGAGGTAATGACTATTCATTGTGCCATTATAAATGATGTAGTATGAAATATTTATTATTGCATACTTATACAGGGTGACTGGTGAATTACTATCAATATTTAAGGAGAATAATCGGTACATGATTCTCATTCGAATTATGTAAAAAAAATAGGCACTTAATTTTTGACAAAATTTCCGTATAAATAAATAAAGTGTTGACACGTTCCAAGTGTTCCAAGTGTGGACGCGTGCGGCGGCGTGCTGATACAACACTACGCCGCCGCGCGCGTATGTGTGAGTGTGTGTGTATACCTAATCTGTAGGGTGTTCATACGATGCGTAATTAATTACATAACTTTTGGTTAACTTTACTTAGAAGTTTATTAATATTTATGTTATATTAATTTTTATTTTGTCATATATGATCGTCAAATATCACGTCCTCAAGTATCGATAGTAATTCACCAGTCACCCTGTATATGTACTATATGTGTATGACATGTAATTATAACGTTTTCTGGAAAAGATCTCCTATAAGCTCTCTTTTCTTTTGTTATTTTGTATGACAATTATTTTCTTACAATTTTTTTGCTATTCTTCTATTTCTTAATGTGACCAATAATTTATATATCATCCAATTAAACTCACCGTTATCTTTGGATAAATACTGAACACTGTGTATGTTAAATGCGTGGTTATTAGGACCGAAGTCCAATTGTAGGTCCGCGTCATCGACAGCCATATTGAGAACCTTCAATAAAAATATGATTTAATATAAGAATTTATAGTAAATTATCAAAAGTACGTAGTAATGTTGTTATGTTACCTGTGTTTCATATCTGGGAGCGGGGTCTTCTTCACTAGACTCATACCCTGACGGTGGTCGCGGCGGCGCCATACTCATACTGAGGGTCCCGTATTGTTGTATTGCTTGCTCTTTGTGTTTTTTATATCTAGAAAATTATGTTAATATTTCAAAATATTTTTTGATACTATTAATGAGCATATTTTTATTCTTATATAATATCTACATTCAACATTGTTATCAATGCTCTAACTAAGGTATATTGACGAGTTCTGACGAGTAATTGTGGTGCTTTATAAAATTCTAAGAAATTTATTATACAAACACTCTACTGTACTCGTTAATATTAAGTCCACGATATAGTTTTACCCCCAGTATCGTATGGTATAAAATCTTTGCACAATTGTTCTTGATTCATATTACATAAAAACTCTTTACATTCTGATTTGAACCAAAGACAAAATTCACCTATTCAATCCATCTATACCGAGTCTACAATTTTAAGTTGTAATTATAAGACAGAACTAAGTCGTTACACTAATCATAAAAGACTATAGCAGATAGGTTTTAAAGTTTGAGATGATAGAAAAGGCACATGTTGTCTTAAAATATGCTAATTTGAGAGGTAATGTTCTTGCGTATTAGACGAAACCACATAGGGATGAAATTCAAAATCCTGTTCTATAAGTCATAAAAAACTCTTTGTATAACATCGGTGATAACGTTAAAGATTGATAAGGCAAAGGGCACTTGTCCCAACGTATCAACTTTAAGAGCAAGCACTAATATTTCCTATGTTTGAGGTACAGTTTCAGATTTGATTTTTAAAGTTCATTTACTTCCAGTTATATTATACAAAATGGCTGAAGCCGGTATATATTTTCAAATCCAAGTTGATACTTAAATGTTTCCATAATAATAAAGTTACAATGGCTCAACATTACAAAAATCATAAAAATAATTCTAATGATTGTACTATATTATGTAGTACGTCACTATATTTGTACTATATCAGTAACATTATAGTATATTATTAGTAAGGCACGAATACCGTTAGTTGTAACCATCGACTTATACTAATGGACATACCTTAGAGATGAGAATTGTGGCACTCCGAAAGAAAGAGAGGAAACGAAGTTTCGGTCTATCTTTATCTCTCTCAAATTTATATGCCGTGCTTGTAATGAAAACTGAGTCAATCATCTATGAGGAAAGAGATAGTGCTAGACTATCTCTATATCTCTCTCACTCTTTTCAAACCAAAAAATGACTGCAAATTATACGCGTACGGCATGTCCGATGGTTGTATAAGTCGATGGTTGTAACAACTAAGAAGCGCAACATTCTCACCTATTCCAAGAAGCGCATATGTATATAGTGGCAGCGGTGGCAGCAACAAGTACTAACGCTGCCAGCGCCAGTAGAGCAGCGGGCAGAGCGGTCGCTAGTGGCGCCGCCGCTAGCTGTGGCCGACGAGGAGCGGGCGGGGTGAGAGGCGCTCGGATTGATACACCAGACTCGACGGCTCTGGAAATTAAGGGATGGTATAAGTTTATTACTATTACTTAATGAAATTGATCGTATAATGAATATATTATATACCAATAATAAGTATAGCTGTTATTGAACTAGTACTTTTTTCTTATTATATTGGTATTAAAAAAATACTTTTAATTGTGAACGTCTCCTGCTGTCAAGATTTTTGTTACTTTTAATTTTCTATTCATTTATTTAGATAGTAAAATTTGGATGTATATGTGATTGAAAAGTAGCTGACGAAAAATATATTTAATATTGATAGTTTAAGATATATAGAAGAGATGTTATAAGAAAGTAATAAGATGGCGCGTATTAGTCTATGAATTATGGGAAAAATATTTATAATAATTAAATTATTTTACTGGATTGACTGAATTCTCTTATATATTACTTACTTTTTCACCGGCTGTGATTCTCTCGTCAATATTTCACCAGTATTCGGGTCTAACAAGTACAACCACACACTAGTTCCGCTAGGGTCACTCTCTAAGGTACCATTTTCTCCTAAATATAGTCTAGGAGTCAATTTCTCTAGTCCTGCCACTAAACCACTTCTTTCTTCAACAGATGCAAGCAGACTGCGAGCTTGTTGAGTCGTCATAGTATCCACGTTCAAATTACCTACTTCTATGATAAGCTGATTGTCTTTTTGGAGGAGATTTATCTGAAAAATTAAAATCGGTATTAGAAACTTATAATTGAATTTTCTACAAGCACTTATTCCACATTGCTCAGCACGACAAAGATTGTATTATATGAAAGTAAGTAATGAGAGTGTTCTTACTGGCATAATAAGTCTCAATCAATTAAAATAACATTAACTTATCTTTCATCAAATATATTGGTTAATTACGTAACATATCAAATATATATATTTGTGTGTGTGTGTATAAAATCTCACCACA